TTATTTGTTTTGTTTTGTTTTTATTTTTTATCTTATTTTGTTTATGTAATTTTTGGCGGACGTTTTTTTTTTATCTTTATTGCGTATGTTTGAGCTTTTGATTCCCCAATCAGAGCTACGAATCGGTATAAGCAAGGCTATATTATTATTCAGTTGACAATGCTTTACATCCATGTGTCGTATTTCGTATCTCCTATCTTTCTTGCTTTGTCCAGATTTTTTTTTCGATTCAGTTCCACTCATTACTGGAGTTCCGCAGCGTTTTGTTCTTTCTCCTAATCAGTTTCGGTTCTTTACGTATGACCTTGGTTGACCATATTTAACAATGTTCATCTCTTTCTTCTTATACGTGAACTACTTTATTTCAGTACATACTCTCTCTGGTTTCAACATTACATATGTGCTGTTCATAACTTCTCGTATTATCAGTCATTTTTTTCTCCCGCCCTCTTGACTGTTTTATAGCCAAAGACCTTCATTTTAACTTTCACTCTTCTCGAGCACTGCGCTGTTAAACACTGAATTTAGTAAGTCGAGTGCCATCCATCAAACTCTAGACTCGTGCCAAAACGTGCCAGCTTTAGCATTATCCTCGGGATTTACTCAACTCCGAGCATACCACACCATCTAGCTAAAAGTTATCTTGCGATTAATTAAATTCTTCAATAGTGTTTGGGATTACTTGCTTTTTTAACTCTAGATATACGTTATTAAGTATAGACGCACTAGTAAGCTCTATACTACGTTATAAGCCTCATTTTGTTAAGGGATAAGATACATTGCTATATACGTTATCCAGACGCACCACTCGGTAGCCTGCTTAGTATATTTTCTAGCCTTAGACTTGCGCATCGGGGCACTAGGTACACTAAACTAAACTCCTGTCAAAGTGCAGACTCTAAATTCTCTGAGGATAGACTAAGCGACCAGACTTTTGCACTTTTGATTTTTATCTCCATAAATATTTGTCTGCCGCTGTTAATCACCAAGGGCACGACAGGTCAAATATGTAACCAAATTCTTTTAGACTGCAAAGATCGCTGATGTTTGTCGGTGGTCAAAGATAATTGATTTCATTTTACTCCATGGTCCAAAAATAAAAGAAACGAAAAATAAAAAGAGAAGACTGATTTAATAACTAACTTTGGCACTAGACAAACTAGAAACGAACCAGCGCGAAAGAGTTAAACCAGTGACTCCCAGTCCACGGAACTTTGGGGTCCCACCGATTATCACTAAGGGTTCGCCAAGAAACCGTAAAATGGTTATATTCTAATATAAAATGACAGTAATCTTTCATAATTCATAATTCCTACCCAACAACACGTCGCAATCACTTTCCAGACACCAACAGACTTGTATACGTCTGTCAGTAGAATGTATAATATACATTGCACTCTATATACTATGCATAGGGGTTCCTTGGAGAAAATGATTGAAAAATTATGAAAAATTATTACGTGTAAATATTACAAGGTCTAAAGGTTGGGAATCACCGGGTTAAACCAAGAAGTTTTGTAACACTGTAATCCAGCGAAATTCAGTGTATGACGCGCGACGCATGCCTGGCTGGTGGCTTTTCTGTCCAGGAAATGTTTTATGAATGAAATATTAGTGAAGTCCTGATCTCGGAAGAGGGTTTCTTTTTTAACGATATGGTGAAGAGGATTTCTTTTTAAACGGTATGCACAATAATACTGATAAGTCAATACCAACGATACCACAGCTTTGCTTGTACCTTGCTAAGAACATGAATCATGTACCGAGTATGGTATGAGGGCAATGTCATGGCAATAGGAGTGAAAAACACTTTTCTCATAAAAGAATAGGTTTCGTAGGGACACTGAGTATGCAGCCATTTTTATCATTACTGTTATCAGCACCATTACCCTCACCAGCATCATTGTCATTGTTATTATCATCATTACCAATATTGTTTTTATCATTACCAATATTGTTTTTATCATCATTACCAATATTGTCATTATCATTATTACTATTATTATTGTTATTGTTATTATCATTATTATTATTATTATTATTATTATGATTATTGTAATTATTATTATTACTATCATTATCATTTCAAATATTATTTTTATTCTTCTATTACTTTTATTGCTATTATTGTTAACATTGATGTTATCTAAATTATCATTATTATTATCATAACAGCCATGATTATGATTATCAATATCAACCTCGCCTCCCCAGAACGCGGCCCCAAGAGCTGGGAGTTCCTGGTCCGCCTCCTCGCTGACCCTCGAACCAATCCCTCGGTGATTCGCTGGGAGGACGAGGGCGACGCGACCTTCCGCCTCACGCAGCCGGACGCGATCGCCAGGATGTGGGGCGCCAGGTCAGGGAAGCCGAGCCTCTCCTATGTCAACTTCGCGAGGGGACTGAGGTAAGGACGGTGGGGCGTTGGTGGTGGGGTTTGTAGGGGGGTGGGGTGGGTGGGTTGGTGACTGTTTGGGTGTAAAGGGGAGGGGGGGTGGGG